ACACACACATATACATAAATACATATATATATATATATACACACACATATACATAAATACATATATATATATATACACACACACATATACATATATATATACATAAATACATATATATATATATATACACACACACACATATACATACATAAATACATATAAACTCACACATATACATACATACATGTATACACACACATACATACATATATACACACACATACATATATACACACACATACATACATAAATACATATATACACACACATACATATATACACACATATACATACATAAATACATATATACACACACATAAATACATATATACACACATATACATAAATACATATAAATACACACACATATATACACACACATATACATACAAAAATACATATATATACACATATACATACATACATATATATACACATAAATACATATATATATACACACACATAAATACATATATATATACACACAAAAAATACATATATATATACACACATATATATATATACACATATATATATATATATATACACACACATACATATACATATATATACACATATATATATACACACACACACATACACATGCACACATATATACTCATACACACATATATACACGCACATACACACATGTATATACATACATAAATACATATATATACACACATATACGTACATAAATACATATATATATATATATATATACACACATACATATATATATACATATATATATATATATATATATATATATATATATATATATATATTAATTAAAAGAATATGAAAGACTTAAAATCCCATAGGTAATAATTTTTATTTCCTGAGAGCTTTAAAAACCTTCAAGGTGTACAAGTTTATAAGTCCTGAAGATTGAGAGCTGTTTTTTTAAAGCGCTCATAAAATAAAAAATTATTACCTATGGGATTTTAAGTGTTTGATATTCTTTAATTAATAATAATTTTGCTCTGTCTCTTGACATAGATTTCTCCTTGGATCTGTATCCTCTTGGAAATTCCATGTGGATTACTATTTTTATATATATATATATATATGATATAAAGATATATAATTTTGTATAATTTTATATATCAACAAACAGTATTTAGAAAAATATGATATACTGGAAAGGTTTTTTGTGATACGTTTCATCCATTAGGATTTCATCTGACTAGACTTTGATGATGTTGCCACATCTACACATGCGCACTAAACAAGAAATGCAGGTACTTTCAAAATTTTTTGAAAAAATTTTCTTGAAATAATTTTTTTTTTATTTTTTAATCTAGCTGAAAACATTTGTATTCTTTTCCTTTATCTTTCCACCACTTTTGTTCCTGATTATCTCACACTGTGACAATATAAAAATCTAACAAGGATGGTAATATATATATATATCATACACACAAAAATCCATCAATGTTCGTCCAACCAACAGACAATTTGCCAAAAGACCTAAAACTTTAGACAAGAAAAAAAAATCATAAACAAGGAAAGAAAAAAAAACCTACTGAAGCAATAAATTAAAGTGGTCACTGCCTAGACTATCTAGACAGACCAAAAAAAAAAAAAACAACAACATTCAACAAGGCACAGCTTGAGTTGCTACTCAAGTTTCATGCTCCCTCAATCTTCAGGGGGACTAGATATATGTAGGAAATATGTAAAACAATTTAAAATTTTTTTTACTTTTATATGTTTAACTAGTGATCCATTTTGGATCATGTCAGAATAAAAAAATATTCTGCAGGATTCTAATCCAAATTCACTTTATATGATGTACAAGTTAACTGAAAAATCTAAATAAAAAACAATGATATTCAGAAGAAAAAAAATTATATAAAAGAATGATGAAAAGTCCTCAGCACAACCAAGGAGAGCTTCCCAAAAGATATTTGTTTGGTCATGTGATCAGATTTTGGGAAGTGCTATGTATTCAGAACTTTTCTACAATGCCTTATATTTTTTTAAAAAATATCTGTATTTCAATAACCCTGCCATTCATCTTGAGAACAACTTTGGCATGATTTCAGAAGTGACTGCACAACCAGATCAGGTGGCTTCTATTCATGCTGACCATAATGACCACAATGGTAGCCACTGGCTAGTCTTTATTCCAGTGATGCCCAAATGCTTATTCAACAATGAAAACGAAAACATTGAAATGAGACCAAAAGTTTATGAAGCAAAAAGCCAAACTACATTTAAACAAAAAACATTAACAGAAATGAAAATTGCCCGGACAAACTCATTAAAAAAAAACAAGCTTATTTGAAACAACAAAAACACCTAAAACAATATAAAAAATGAAGAAAAACAAAAAATGAAATGAAAAACCAAAGAGAAAAAAGAAAACATTGAAACAAAAAGAAAAACAATGAAGCAAAAGCCAAACTACATTTAAACAAAAAACATTAACAGAAATAAAAATTGCCCGGACAAAACTCATTAAAAAAACTTTGAAACAAGCAAAAAAAAACTTTGAAACAAGCAAAAAAAACCTCCAAAAAACACCTAAACAGATATAAAAAATGAAGCATTAAAACAAAAATGATAATATACTGAAAAACACTGAGAGAAAAAGAAAACATTGAAACAAAAAGAAAAACAATGAAGCAAAATTTAAACAAAAAACATTAACAGAAATAAAAATTGCCCGGACAAAACTCATTAAAAAAACTTTGAAACAAGCAAAAAAAAATTTAAAAAAAACACCTAAACAGATATAAAAAATGAAGCATTAAAACAAAAATGATAATATACTGAAAAACACTGAGAGAAAAAGAAAACATTGAAACAAAAGAAAAAACAAAACAAAAAACATTAACAGAAATAAAATTGCCCGAACAAATATTAAAAAAAAAACTTTAAAGCATTAAAAAAAACACCTAAACAGATATAAAAAATGAAGCATTAAAACAAAAATGATAATATACTGAAAAACACTGAGAGAAAAAGAAAACATTGAAACAAAAAGAAAAACAATGAAGCAAAATTTAAACAAAAAACATTAACAGAAATAAAAAAAAAACATTAAAAATTAAACAGAAAAATTTAAAAAACACCTAAACAGATATAAAAAAAAATTAAAACAAAATGATAATATACTGAAAAAACACTGAGAGAAAAAGAAAACAAAAACAAAAAAAAAAAACAATAAAAAAAAACAAAAAAACATTGAAACAAAATTGCAAAAAAAAAAAACTTTGAAAAAAAAACACCTAAACAGATATAAAAAAAATGAAGCATTAAAACAAAAATGAAATATACTGAAAAAAAAAGAAAAACAATGAAAAAATTTAAACATAAAAACATTAAAAATAAAAAAAATGAAAAAAAATTGAAAAAACTTTGAAACAAGCAAAAAAATTTAAAAAAAAAACACCTGAAAAAAAAATGAGAAAAAAACAAAATGATAAAATACTGAACAGAAAAGAAAAATGGTGGTTATACTGAAAAAGCAAATACTTTTACACAGTAACAAAACAACAAAAACACTAAAGCAATGACACATTTCAGCAAAAATGAAAAGTTCAACAATAAAATAATAAATTATGGATAAAAACCTTTGGTCTGTAAAGAAGACCTAATACCTCTGCCTCTTTAGCAGTTTTGAAAAAACATTTAAATCTTCAGAAATTGGTAGACATAGACATCAGAGAATTTCTCTAACTCTTTATTCTAGAAAGGTGAAAGTATTTTTTTTCTTGACAAAGTGTACAAATACTACCCATTGATCGTAAGCAAAGAGCCAAGGAGTAACATTTTGATCTTAGGCAGAACACACAGAGATTGATTTCAGGCATAAAGGTTTGCCTATCATCCGGTTCAGACTCCTCCACAGTCTTTTGAATAGGTATAGAGGTTTATCCCTTGTTTCCTCTTTAGGATTAGGTTTCTGGTTCTTTCTGAAAATCTATTTCAACTCTATACTTCTAACGTAACCACTTAAACTCTGTAATTTTATTTAGTAATTAATTTTGTCCTCGACAAGAGTAGATAGGATTGCCTATCATCCGGTTCGCACTCCTCCCCAGACATTTGAACAGAGTAGAGATTTATTCTTGTTTCCTGTTTAGGATAGGGTTTCTGTTTCCTTCTAGAGACTTCTCATTCTCTTCCACTCCCGGTAGCCCCTTGTGTCTTATCGCCTTACTTGGGATGAATTGATTTTTAAAAAAAAAAAAAGGCCATTCAGATATAAATATTCCTATCATTTTTGATGAGTGTTATGTTAGCATTCCTTAGAATCTGCAAACAAAATAACTAATTTTTAAACATCAAAGATGGAGAAACTATTTTTTTGTCTTTAAAGAGGGATTTTCTTTTTCTGAAAAATCAAGAAAGACCGATTCCAACTTCAGCTTTTGTTATCTTTCTACCTGACTCTCCAGTTGTATGGTTATCCAGTTATCTGGTCAGCCTTCAGAATTGAAGATGTTTACTTTATTTTATTAAGAACTCCTGGGATCTTTTCAGATATATTCACAATACTTCAATTCTGTTATCTTGGTTTTAGCCTTCCCAAGTTCACTGAGACAGTAAATTGCATAAACAGAACATTGAAAGGACCTCTGCACCTGTTTCTATGGTAACCAAATATATATAGCTTCCTCACTTTTAAAAATACAAAGATACACTAATGAAAACAAATGAATGTCCCTTGTTGATAGAAGTCATATTAGTGTGAACTTTTCATACAAGCGTTTGGAATACCAATTTATTAAATTATCATGCAAAATTTTATCTTCCTAATTTTACCAACTTTTTTTTGTATCAACTTTTACTTTTCAAAAATTGCCTTTTACAAAAACGACTTGGATTTTTTAAAAAATCAAATTACACTCTGTCGCATACTCTAGAATAATTTTCTCTTTTTAATTTACGCTTCTGTTTTATTAACATCACAAACAATTTTCAATCTAAAAATATAACTGATACACTGACATGTAAACAGATTACTGTTATCCAAAAATTACCTCCCTTTTTTGATTCCTCCATTTCCAGGCAATCCACAGTTTTTGTTGCAATGCATTCCTCACTTATATTGTTTGAAGTACTCAATTCTCAGTTTGATTGAATTTTGTCCATGTTTTTAGATCATTTTGCGTGATTTTCTTCAGAGACTAATTTCCTTGTCTTACTTTGTATGGAGTAATTGGTCATGGTTAAGTGTAATTGGCAAAAATGCTCAACAAACAGAATTGACAAAGTTTGCAATAAACAATAAGAAAAGAAGGAAAAAGAACATAGAAAACTAATACAGAGTGTGGCAAAAATACTTTCGACATGATGGTAAGACATTAGTGGCAATGTTCTCTTCTAGCTAATGTCTTACCATTATGTGGAAGGTATTTCCATCCCCTTCCTGTACAAAGCAAACAATATATATGCAAGACAAAACTAAGCCAAGCAACAGTAATAAGACAAAAAGTTGACAAAGTAAGAATTGTGTTCATGTGTGAAAGCGACCGACACAGTCCAGTAATCATGCTGTTCATGTACAAAAGTGATCGACACGGTCCAGTCATCATGCTGTTCTGACTTAAAGACAAGAAAGAACAAAAATATGATAGATGAGACTAAGAAATGGTCCATGTTTATTGGTTAGAAAGAAATCCCAGCATGCATCTGTACAATTTGTCTATAAGTTTGAGATACTAATCCTCAGATTGAAACCAAAACTGTGGCAATAAAATAAGCACATCCAATCTCTCCTCTTGCTTGCAACCATCCACTATAATAAAATAAATGTTTTCAGTACTAAAGCTTCATAAGCTTCTAAGAATTGTTGCTATACAAATATTTTGGCTTTTTTGAGTTTTTGGAAATGTGTGTGTATGGGTATCTTTTAGGTTGTTTTTTTTTTTTATTTCTATCAATCATGTTCTCTTCAGGTGCATGTTGTGTTTTGGAATATTAACAAATCCTATTAGAAGTTCAACACCTAACTGATGGCTCTCCCAAGAACTATGGGGTAAAAGGCCGAGAAGGGAAAGAGATGGGTGAAGACAAAAATAACACTATACCAGAAATCACAGCAGAGTGAGCAGCACACAACTTGAGGGACAAACTGTCCAAGATAACAACTTCACAAGACACAACATCTCATCAACTGCCCCACTGCTGGGCTTTCCATTGGTTTTATTGACAGGAGACATTTGGCAAAAAGCCCAGATCTAGACAAGTTGCAGAGAGTCCTCGATCTGGACATGCCAAGTTGTTCTGCTGCTAATGGGGAAAATATGGATCTAACTGGTTTTGAAAGACATGTCTATGCACAATTCAGGGACTCTTTTGCATCTGGGCTGATGCACATTTGCCACACAAAATAAGAAACTGTTTACAAAACATTTTTCAGCCAATAAACTAGGATTTACATCTTATCATAATTCAATAAACATAAATATTTTGATTTCGGTTACATTAGTTAAATTTTCATGAATTTATCTTATACTTCTAAGTACAAAATCACTGCTTATTGATTATATAAAGATAATGTTAATAGAAATGTTACTTACTGTATTCTTAGAAATTCAAAATAAATGAAATAACAAAACCGATTCTATATCATGTTTTCACACATCCCCTAAAAGGAAAACCATTTTGTTTATATTTTATCACATGATCTCTTGCGAATACTAAGTCTTCTTCCTCCTCCTCCTCTTTTCCTATATATAAAAATTTCAAGACACCTGGTGTACTAATGGCCATTTACTTATACTTCACTGACAATCACAAAATACCACTAATAACAGTATGATAATGTACAATAATAGTACATTCCACTTTTAACATTTTTTTTATTCAGTCTGAATGATGCAATCGTAACTTGATGTTTACATTTTCTCAGCTGAATTTTTCTCTTGCATGGATACAAGTTGATTTCATTGATATGGAATTATTCTTCAAATAGGCAATTTATTATGAAGTTATGCCAGTAATATATAAGGTAGAAATGATTTTATCACTTTTATTATCAATATATTTGATAATGTGAATCTTTTTATGTACATTATTGGTTATTGCAAGAAGGTTAAGGTTAGCCTACTGACAAACATCACTCAGAATTTAAGGTTTCATTTTTAGAATTGTAATATCAGACAAGACCCTAAAGTTCAAAAGTTTTTTCAAAATTTAAAGAAAAAATAAAGTCAAAAATAAGCAATGAAACTCCACCCCAAAGTTTTTTCTTCTTTACAGTAACTCTTTTTGCCATTTTAACTTTAGTTTCTTTTTCCAAGCTTTTTCTTCTGATTGGAATATGTAGATATTTTATCTAACAAAATTGTGGACTCTCCCATCATTAATTGACATGGGCTGTTGACCTGCACCTACCAGAGACCCTTTTATAATGTATGAGGTTCAAGCAACTCAGTTCCTAGGAACTAACAGCCAGACAACCTGCACATATGATTTGATTCTAATGGTGAAGGTTTTGTGCAGAACCAACCACATTTTTTTTGAAGAGCCGAATACAGAGACCTGGAGCACTGTGTGCCACAAGATACCTAAACGACCCTCCACAGGTTTTGAATTCAGAGTTGTCCTTCTCCTAGACCAGTTGCCATCCAAGGCTATAGAACCCAGTCTCTCCTGCTATTTACTCTTAGCTGGAGGAAGAAGAAGAGGATTCATACTTTTCCCAAGGGTATTAGCACATAAGTGAATGTAACGGATTTGACTGTAATTTGAACTCGGCTCTCCAATTACTCAATCTGAGCTGCTATCCATTACACAACTGTGCCTCCTCTAACAAAATACACTATTGATATTAATACAAGTTGGATATTGTAGATTGACTGTAGCTATTTTTCTTGGTCCCCCAAAAATGTTTCTTCTTCATGATCTTGGATTACAGTTCCAGGAATTTCATTCTCCTTTATTTGAATCAAACCAGTAACTTTAGATTTGAAACAATGTATGCAGAAATGTCAGGATATAAGCATACATGAATCAACATTTCTATATTAAAAATAGACGTGATGATATAAAAACATCCAGTTACATTGAAATAATGATCCTGAAAGCTATTTTACTGCTGGCAGTGACAGATAAGATTGCTGTAGTCTATAAGTGCAAAGAGGTTTTACTTCAGGTATTTTAGTGAGGAAATTAATTTTTCTCAGTTGTGGCAGCCGCATTTTGTTCTCCCCCAAGAGATTTTTGGGTAAACATTTGTAAGTCACTAGTTCTGTTCAATTCTCTGAATGACATATGTTTAACAGCCATCTTAACAACTTTGAAAGGTCAAGAAATAACTTAAGCATTGCCAAAATTGTAACAACTGATATGATATAGAGAAATTTTATGGTGAATATTTTAAAGTTAGAAATAAATTATAAATTTGTATGTTTTGATAATGAAAAAAAGAAAATCATACAATTAACAGCTTATTAATTAGACATAAATGACTTTATAAATAATGCAAAGACTGTAGAAAAGAAACACGTCAAGAGAGCAGAAGGTATTGAATAGAGTGTGCATAGTGAGGAGGGAGTGAAATGTTTTTCCTTTTTTTGTTCTTTCAGGTCTGAGTTTTGTTTTACATTTAGATGGCTTGAGTTTCCTTGATGAACTGGTCATTTAGAGAAACTGCGACAATAAAATGTGAACATAGGATTGAATAGCAAAAGATGCATTCTAAAAGCTAAGCAAAGTAATAAGAAACTGGAAAGTATTATTAGAAACAATGAAAAGAGTCTTACAGGATTCTATGATGCTCAGGTAAAAATTAGTCACCATTATTTAGTGGGAATCAATACTTTAGATATGAGTGTCTGCATGTTGTATATTAAATATTTATAATCACCTGCAACATTTGTCCTGAAAAACAATTGTTCGCGGACTCATGTGAGTCCGGGTAAAAATAAGAAACAAAAGACTGAATACAAAAAAACAACATTGAATGTTATTAACAAAAGTAACAGCATGTGTACACAATTAAAATAAAAGGAAAAGACATTGAAGCTAGCTATGACAAGGTGTTGGTCTTTGTGTGTGTGTGTGTGTGTGTGTGTGTGTGTGTGTGTGTGTGTGTGGATAAGCATATTTGATAGACATGTGCATGTGTGAGAGAGTTCAAAATTCAATAGAGAACCAAGGAAGTGAATGTGCACTGTTGGCCTCATTCTTTATCAATGTTCAACAGGGTTAGAAGAACAAGACAAAAGCAGGGAAGGAGGAGAATATGCTTGCCTTTTAAAGAACACATGCTAACAACCATTTCTAGCAAAGCCAAAAGAGTTCTGAACTGTTATGTAATGTCAATCCTTCTATATGGCAGTGACTGCTTGACAATCTCCTCACAGATGAAGAAGAGACTTGAAGCAAGAGAAACAAAGAAAAGAGTGCTGAACTGTTATATAATATCAGTCTTCTTATATGGTAGTGAATGCTGGACAATCACAGATGAAGAAGAGACTTGAAGCAAGAGAAACAAAGAAAAGAGTGCTGAACTGTTATATAATATCAGTCTTCTTATATGGTAGTGAATGCTGGACAATCACAGATGAAGAAGAGACTTGAAGAAGAGAAAACAAAGAAAAGAGTGCTGAACTGTTAAAATATCAGTCTTCTTATATGGTAGGAATGCTGGACAATCACAGATGAAGAAGAGATGGAAGAGAAACAAAGAAAAGAGTGCTGAACTGTTATATAATATCAGTCTTCTTATATGGTAGTGAATGCTGGACAATCACAGATGAAGAAGAGACTTGAAGCAAGAGAAACAAAGAAAAGAGTGCTGAACTGTTATATAATATCAGTCTTCTATATGGTAGTAATGCTGGACAATCACAGATGAAGAAGAGACTTGAAGCAAGAGAAACAAAGAAAAGAGTGCTGAACTGTTATATAATATCAGTCTTCTTATATGGTAGTGAATGCTGGACAATCACAGATGAAGAAGAGACTTGAAGCAAGAGAAACAAAGAAAAGAGTGCTGAACTGTTATATAATATCAGTCTTCTTATATGGTAGTGAATGCTGGACAATCACAG